TAGAAAGATGTCCAAGACTCAAGAGGCCATGGGCCTTTTTGCTGTTGGAATCGAGAGTCTTTTTCCTTCCCCTCTCTTCCCTTTGTGACCTTAGTTAGGTGCATGTTTTCCCAGCACTTTGGCTTTGTCACTGGTAAAGCGAAGGCCCTGGGCCTAGTTGATGGTCTCAAGGGGCCGGTTCTGCTCTTCCTCTGCTGACCAGGTTCTTCCTTCTGCCTGTGGTTCCCGTTCTTGTCTCGTACCAGCAATTTTTTAATATTGCCAGGAATCCAAACACAAATCTTTTTTGATGGGCCTTAGAGGTAGTAAATAATTCCCTAACAGGGAAAAAAAATCAATCATAGAAGATACCATTGGTTCTCTGGGGACAGTATTCAAGGTGGAAGTGTTTTAATGAAGGGGAAGTGGTGGCTTGTAACTCCTACAGGCTGATGGGGTAGGAGGAGAGGAGACGGACGCTGCCAGCAACCCGGAAATGGTCGCACACTGGGTCCAGAAAGGGCAGTGTGCCTTCGGTGGGTGTGTAGAACAAGTTTCATTTTTTAAGAGAGGTTTTTATTATAGGATGTGTGTGCTTGTCAGACAGACAGAGAAAGAGAGACAGAAAGCGAGAAATCACTCCCAGGGGTGATAGCGATGCCACAGTCCTCTGCATTCTTCTCTCAGGATTTTGGGCATGCACGCCTGGTATGAGTTTTAAACCACCGGGACTGGGAATCGAACTGTGGTTGAGTACGTGGGAATCCAACGAAATAACCATTTCACCATCTGCTGGTCACAGAAACAGGTTTTCTATTTCCAGTGGCATGGCCTAGACAGCCTCTTGGGGAATTAATGCACTCCTAGTAGTCGTTACCTTAATGTAGCATTCCAGCAATGCTGGTACAGCGAGGTAGCACTCTTTGTTTATTTATTCAAATATTTATTAAGCCTCCAGATACGTTCTGGGCACTGGGATGCCACCGTGCAGGAGACAGAGCCCTTGCTGTCACAGAGGTCATGGTGGGGAAGATAGACCTGGAATAGGATGTCCGCACTGACAGGGGCTATGAGTGATGGAACGGGCCAGAGAACGGCAGCAGGCCGAGGGTAGAGGTGGTGGGAAGGCCTCGCGGTGAGAACAGGCTGGCATGTTAGAGGAGTGGAGACAACAGTTGTGGGGCCTGGAAGGTCTGGACCCTGGCAGGTTCAAGGGTTTTACTTCTGTCCACCTGGCAAGTCCTTGTGAAGGGAAGGAGCACAATGATGGCCTCAGGATTCTTCCTGGACAGCCTCGACTCCTTAGTAACGGCCCCAGTTCTCAGAAGGCCCAAGTCCCTCTCAGAAGTTAGGCATTTAGGGAAGTATATAAATTCCTTCAGACTACCTGGGAACTGTTTAGGGTCTGAAAGAATTTATGCACTTTCCAACTGCTTAATTTAATAGCTGGGAACAGCCTCGGGTGTTGAGAGCACAATGGACATTGTTTAGGAATAATTGGTAACTAAAGGTCATAGGTACCATTCAGATTCTAAAGAAAGTCTTGGAAAACATAAGCGTGCTGCTTTCGAACGCCTTCTCAGTGCATTATTACCTGCTTTTATATTGTGGCATTAGAACGGCACCGTCCAGTAGTCACATAAACAGCAGGAGCTCTTTCAGTGCAGTGTTGAAAGTATCCTAAAACTAGATTTTAATGAATAGTTATAATGCGTTTCATGGAGTGCACACTTTCTGCGCACCATATCTGTGCAGTGAAGGAAAACTATCTTTCCAACACTTTGGGAAATGAGTATCTTGGTTCACCTTGCCGCGAGAACTGAGGCTAAGTTCAGAGCCCACTGGTGAGGGTCGGAGTTAAGGTGCCAGCCCGAGTCTCTGGCTCCAGAGTTCTCAGTAGGTGTTAGCACAGAACTCCTGTTGTGTCCTTAACAAAGGAGATGACCAGTCAGCAGGCCAGGGCACAGTGTCACGGTTAATAGAAATGACTCAAAGCCAGCACACTCCTAGGTTGCTCGCCTTGTGCAAGGTCACGCCTGTGTTTTCTGGGGGCTACAGCAACCCACAGAGGGATAGTGGGGGAAGCGCGGGCAGATGTGTGCAGAGGTTGGAAGAGGAAGCCCTCGCTAGAGCACCCTCCCCCATTGCAGCAAGGATCCGCTGCACTTCTGTGGAAGGGAGTGGCCAGCACTTTGAGCAGAGCTAAGTGCTGTGATGCACGCTCTGGTAACACCGCGTGACTTGGGGTCACCAGCTTGCTGGTAGGGAGTTGCCTGTCTTTCATTGAGCCAGTTTGGCAGGCAGATCTTTTGGAAGAGACTGCTCTTTTCTTTTCTTTTCTTTTCTTTTCTTTTCTTTTCTTTTCTTTTCTTTTCTTTTCTTTTCTTTTCTTTTCTTTTCTTTCTCTTTTTTTCCCCTGGAGAGGTTTTTTGCTACAGGGTGCATGCACTTGCCAGAAAAACAGACAAAGACAGACAGAGAGACAGAAAGCGAGAAATAACCCCCCAGGGAGGAAGGCCATGCCGCAATCCCTTCTCCTCCATTCTCCTCTCTGGATCTTGGGCACGCACACATATGCACCTGGCATGAGTTTAAGCCTCCAGGTCTGGGACTCGAACCGTGGTCAGCTACATGGAAGTCCAACAACATAGTGATTACACCAACTGCTGATCCCGGGACTGCTCTCTTTTAGGCTGAGGAGACAAAGGAGTTTATAACCTTTGTTCTACTCAGTCTTTGGCTTCTTTGAGGGGCCTTAGCCCTGTCATTTTGGATCTCAGTCCTCTCATCTGTAAAATGTGGAGGCTGGAGTTCATGATCTCCAATGCCATTTTAACCTTTTAGAAAATGCGTGTGTGTTTGTGTTTGCGATTTGACCCACCTTTCATCTGACATTCGTTTTCCACGAGTTTTGTAGCAAAGCAAAATAAAATTCACAGTTATGCTTAGGAGAAAATAACCGAGTCACTGGGAAAGTTAAAATGCATCATGACTTTCCCGACAACCTAATACTTCATGTCAAGATAAAATGTACTAGCTTATAAATTTTACACATCTGGATGTCAATGAAGAAAGTGGTAAAAACTATTCATCTCCTATGGAGGAGGGCGTGATAACTCTTTAAGTCCTGCTTCTCTACAGAAGTTCTTCCGCGTTAACAGTGCATATCAGGGAGGGGTCAAATCCATTAAAACTCTCCCAAGTGGAACAAGTGACCTGAATTACTTGTTTGCTTAAGTCAAACAGGAAAGTTCTTCCTTTGAACTTAAATAATTCCAGGAAATGCAATAAAGAAGCTGAGGGAGAAAGAGAGCATTGAGTTAGGGATTGCTTTTCCAGCACTCAGTTACTCGCGCTCTGACAACTCCTCTCTGGTTGGTGTGCTTCACAGCATTCCGAGTGTGAATCCGTTCCGTCTACACTCTTGTTTTTCTTCTGCAGACTGATTTTCTTTTTTCAGTTTTATAAATTAGAGGTCTTCAGCTTTCGAATGTAGTCCTTGAGGAATTTTTAAATGAGTAGATGAAATAGCTTTATTAAGACTGAACTTTTCACTTACCATCAATTCACAATGCTAAGTAGCAATACCATGTTCTATTTATAATTTACTTATTTCTTCCCTTTCCACATTTCTTTCCAGGAAATGACCCATTCATGGCCTCCTCCTTTGACAGCAATACACACGCCTAGTACAGCTGAGCCATCCAAATTTCCCTTCCCTGCAAAGGTAATTCGGTGAAAGTATAGCAGGCCCTGTATGCACCACCTCGGTGAGAAGATGGAGGTCTTGCCGTGAGCCTGACTGATAAAGTACTACTTGTCGAAATCTTTGGAGATTAAGTTAAAATCCTAATGAATTTATCTTCTACAGTGTTACATACTGCTTCCAAATGCTTTATTCTCCCACGTAAGTTAGTAAGAATATCTTAGATTTGAAACATGTAGTACTTTCCAATAAAATGTCTCCTCTGAGAGGCCTTATTTTAGGGATGGGAAAACAGAGGGATAGGAAATTTAGGGAGATAGGTTGTGGGATTCCTATTTCAAAATATAAATTCATGTGTGTGTATCTTAAACATATACCGCCTGCAATTCCCTAAAGTTTATCATGATCAGTTGGATCCACCAGTGCTGGTTTTAACAGATGAACGAACCGATGGCGCCCATGTTTCCTTTACGGTATTTGCAAATAGTGTATTGGAACACCTCCATTCTCCACTTTTTTCGATTTTTGCTGTTGGATAACCTTCAGGATATCGAGATAGCACCTCTACATCTGAGTTCCCTCTAGCCTGGTATGCACGCACGCTGAGGTATAGCTATTTCTAACCATGATCCTATTTTCAAAAGAAGTGATAGCTACACAAGCCCCATTTGCCACAAGATAAAAACTTCACCTATTTTCTAAGGATTGCTTTTTGCTTTTTTCCTTCTTAAGGTGATTTGTTATTACCAGCTTTAAAGATAAAGCAGTAAACTCCATACAAATATCTTTCTGTTTAAGATTAATTCATTATTATTTTTTTTTAAGTTTGCTATAGGACATGTGTACTCACCTGAGAGAGGGAGAGAGAAACCAAGCCATCAGGTCTGAGACTTGAACTGAAGTGGGCCATGTGGGAGTCCAGCACTTTAACCCCCGTGCCACCTGCTGCCTTCCCCATACAAATACCTTTGCTCAGCACAAAAGGGAAAACAACCTCTAGAAAAGAACAAGGCAATAAAAGTTGTTTTATGTAAAAATTAGGTTCATCGGTGTTTGCAAACTATGCATCAAAAAAGATAGATTCGTGTTTAAGTAGAAAAATGGAGGCAGTGTTCAGGGTTATACAGTAAATGTTTATTTTAATATCTGTGTGGTGAGTAATGTGGATATTCTCCACACTATTATTTTCATTTTCTATATATTTGAAAGTTTCATAGACTATCTTTTCAATACGAGAAGCTCCATAGTTTGCCCTTAGAGTTAGAAACCTTGATATGTTAATAAGTAGAAATTTTCATTTTTTTCTTTCTAGGATTCTCAGCACATCAGTTCTGCAACCCCAAACCAAAGTAAGTAAATATCTGAAACTGTTTATTGCATCGAAGAACAAAGCATAGTTTTTATTGTGTTAATGTAAAAACAGTAGTAAAAAAATGTTCCAGCAGAGAGGAGGCCTTCCTGTGTTGAAAGGATAGGAAAAGGAGAGCTAAGGCAAAGCTGTTCTTAGGGGGAATTGCAAATCGTTGCAGAATTAATGAAGGTCTTTTAGTAAATGTTGAACAGCTATGACTTGGTATCACTAACACATGATTACGATCTGGAATGTGACTCTCAAGGTATTGTAACCCAAGAACTGTATACAAGAATAGATTGGGAATATTCGATGTGATTCTTATATATATGTTTTTTTAATATGAAACTAAAAACGTATAAGGAATGTAGCACACAGCTTCTTCAGCTCCTCTTTGTATCTTTGCCTGTCCCTTCCGAGGGCTTATAACTACAGAGGGAAACCGAACAAAGCTAACTGGATCTAGCGTTCCCCTTCAACAGTAACCCCTCACATTAATACATTGCATCCCACTATTTGTAATCATTTAATTTATCAAAATACGGGGTGTAAGACATAGGTAAAGAGCTGGCAGTGGGGTGTGGCAATTGCCACAGCTAGGAAGTTAGTCTTCAAAGGGTGGAGAGGCCAAAGGCAGAGGAGATGATGGGGTGTCTGCATGTTGGGGGAGGAGACCCTGCCCTTGAGTATCCCCACCTCATTCTTTTCCCTCACTTAAATATTTTCCCTTTACTAGTTCATGGTGCGACTATCAAAGATATGAAGAGAGGACAGTAGATTAGACAAGTGAGAAGCAGAATATCCTCCCACAAGAACACAGATGGGCAAACGACGACATGAGTCCAGTCTGCCCCGCAGCTAGTTCTTGTACATAAAGTTTCATTGAGATGTAGCCACACCCATTCATTTTATTGCTCTGCAAGATTACTCTCATTTATTACTGTGCTATACTCTACAAGATATAGCATACAAAACCCAAAGTGTTAACAAAGTGTTTGCTGTTTGCTAATCCAGAGACACTGAATAAGTTCTTAGGGGAAAAAAAAAAAACCCTCATAAGTAAATTTCCCCCCAGTGCAGAGAAATAAATCTGACTGAGTTGCCAGTATTATATAAGTAGCAAGGTAAAATGCCCTGAAGTGGATGGCTGCATGGGGAGACTGGGAAATTGTCTTTCTCAGCATCTTGGCAGCCAGCCCAAGGATAGAGAGATGACACTCAGGTCGTAGGTGTGGGGTAGGCTCACGTGGCCATCCACCTCAGCCGTGGGCAGGCTTGCTGTGTGTGTGCCCCTGTAGCTCTTACATCCCCTTCTGCATCAGCCAGGGCTGCCAGGCACACAGATTATGTGTCTTCCACTGGGTTACTCACGGCTTGCACGGTCACTAACTCTTGGTTTAGAAAGATCAGCTGTTTGATTTCCCCTGGTGGCAAAATATCGTTGAAAATGAATTGGTGATCACTTTCTTGCCTGGAATGAATCACCCCCTTGGCCTGTGGGAGGGTGTGGGCCCCTTTCTCATGACTCTGATGAGAAGGTGTCAGAGGCTGCAGGGCTCTCCCATAAGTCTTGGCTCACCATCTGCTCACTGCAGGGTCTACTCTGTTGCTTCTATTTTTGTCCCCTGGTGGTCTGGAAATTGTGTTTATCTTTGTGAGACTGCAGCCTGTATGGGCTGAAAGAGAGGTTTAGTTTGGTGGATGAAGAGGGTGATAGGGTGTGGACAGACTTTGTTTTTTTTTTGTGGAGAGTAGAGAGTGGCCTATGTTTTTCAAAGTATGCCCTGCTGGCAGCTGCAACTTTTTTCAACACTAACGCCTTACGGTACTGGCATGGAGGTTTTGGAGGCTGCGGTAAGGCCCAGGGCCAGGGCATGGGTAGGGATTTTGCTTGCATATCCCACTTTTTATATCCTTGTTTGCAAATCATGGCTCCCTAAGGATAACCAGAGCTGGCGAAACTTGAGGCCCGTCAAGATGACTGTGTGGGAGTCCCTGTGCATAGAAGAGGAATTTTGGCCCCCATAATTTGTAGTTCTGGTCCTAGCTTTCTAGATGAAAGGGGAGGCAGTGTGAAAATGTCATATAAGAGCTGCTGCCACCGTGAGGATAAAGCGGTTCATTGCAAATATGTGAGGGTCTCCGAGTGACATTGCAAGAAGTATCAGTCACCCCTGCTTAAAAGGTACCCACGTTCCCCTTCCACCTTGAGCTGTTTCAGGTTCCCATTACCTCATGTCTAGACAGTACAGTGGCCTCTTCACATAGCAATTCCTGCTCCTCTCAGGTTAGCAGGTAGCGCCTCTGAGTTCATCTCCCCGAGGAGTCTCTGTGTCACGTCCCTGTTTAGATCATTGATAAAGTCATACCTTCCTATCCCAGCATTTGGAATTCCCTGAAATCTACCCTCTGACTTTCGGTGCTGTCCACCACAGAGTCTGCACCCCAGCCATACCCTTCCCAAACCTGGGCTGTTCCAGCTCCTCCCACTTATTCCCATTTGCTCACTCTGTCTCTTCGGCCCAGAGGCCTTCTTCACCTTCCTTTCCCTGCCAGCTGTCACTGTCAGAATCTTACCTGGCTTCTGTGTCACAGTTCATTTGGTTCCTTCTCTGATTTTCTTTCCTCGGTCACCCATTACCAACATAGTGGCCATTCTCTGGATTCCCGGGACAGTTAATTCACACAATTGATCTTTGTTCTTTTCTCATAGTGCCTGGTGCTAGATGTTTGTGGGCCTGTTTCATGCCCTTTAATCAACTGTAAGCTCGCCAAGGACAGGGCCGAATGCCTTAATTATATTGATACCTCCCAGCCTAGAAGAGCTGTTGAGTGAATTACTTTGTGGGGGTGGGAGGAGGAGGGAGGGTAGGGACCAAATCATGGAGGAACAGTTGGGAAGGAGAGCACAGCCAGCCAAGAACAAGATTGTGAAGGGGCGTGGCAGGAAATCACTGATATATACATGGAATCAATCTAGGTGAGGGGTGAGGACTGCCCTGAGTCATGGCCCTTCTGTGGGAGTCTCCATCCGTTGGCAGCCAGGACAGGAAGGCTCTCCAGTGCACGTGAGAGTTACTGGCAGCGTGGTAGGGCATGCTGCTAGCAATGCTTTCCAAAGGGTCTGTGGTCTGTTAAGAGTTGATTCTGGGACTGGCTCTGTAGCCTAGTGGTTAAGGGAGTCAGATCCCACATGGCTGACCACAGGGTTTGCATGCCAGGAGCATGTGTGTATGCCCCAGATTCCAAAAGGGTGGAGAAATGGAAGAGAAGGGATGATGGCCTAACCATTCCCATGGGAGAGGGTGCTTTCTCCCTCTTCCTTTCTCTGTCTCTCTGGCAAGCACATGTGCCCTCTGACAAAACAGAGTTGATTCTTAGCTATCCTAAAAGTCACACAGATGTTACTTCAGGGGGGAAATTGTGCCATGTGCTCAGCACTCTGGTCAACAGAATCTGGACTATGTGTTCAAGTCAAAGGTGGGAAAAGTCAAAGAGAACTTAGTGCTGGTGATGGGGCTATTGTGTGTCCTTATGCTCCTCTGACCATCTTTCCCTCCCCCCCACAGAACACTATGATACAGCCGCAAAAACCCACCCTCACCCTCAGCAAGGAACCTCGTAAGTCAAATGCTTCCTTTTATTAATAAAGTTTATAATATGGCACTGTAAATCAATCTATTGCTTAGCATTTCATCTTTCCTGCTTTCAAGTAATGACATTCATAAAATACTGCAGCGTTGTGAAGGAAACAAATGGACCCATGTTCATCCCTGGACGGAGTTATCCTATGGAAGATTTATTTATATACCACAGGAGGGTTTGCTAAGAGGCTTTCCGAAAGGAAGGTTTTTAAGCTATCATTTACATATTAACTGTGGAAAATAGAAGGCTTTGGTTTTTAACATTTCAGTCCTAAAGAGCTTTAGCTTTTGGAAACAAGTGGGGGGGGAGGGGATGTGCACAATTTAAGATTTTCTGCCACTTTTTTGGCCTAGTTTTACTAATAAGGAGCTAGTCCTATTGCCCAGCTGTTCTTTATTAAGGCCAAGTAAGTCCAGATATATTCTGGGTTTTTAGAACATTTTAGGCTGCATATTAAAGAAGGTTAAATCGGCATTTTGGCCCAAGTTGTGACTTCCTGATCGTATTGCCGTTATGTCTTTACTGTGCACAACCTGAACTGGTTTTCGGGCCCAAGCGGGGAGGTCTTCCTCTCTGTCAGGATCTAATCGGTCATTGTCACTCTGCTGTGCTCATGTCTGAGTTCAAGCTCCAGCTCTCTTGTAGATACAGGCACGATATGTGATTCATGGATTTTGGAAGATGGGGATTGCTGTGGATTACTTTAAACTGAATAGTTGAGCTGAAAAGGTTACTTTTATCTTCTCACCATGACTGACTGTGGGACTGGTTAAGTCATTGTTCCCAAATGCTAGTTCCATGTTGCAATCTGTTTTCATTTCACCATAGTGAAATGAGAAAATAAAGAACACTACAGTGAGGGATTTTTACATTTTATTGGGTTTTTTTGGAGAGTTTGTTTTGTTTTGTTTTGGTTTGCTATAGGGTGCATGCGCTTGCCAGAAAGAGAGAGAGAGACAGAGAGACGGAAAGCGAGAAATCACCCCACGGGGGGATGGCCAAACTGCAATCCATTCTCCTCTTGGGGACCTTGTGCACTCATGCACACATGCCCGACGTGAGTTTAAGCCACTGGGTCCAGGACTCGAACCGCAGTTGACTACATGGGAGTCTAGTGACATAGCCACTATGCCAACTGCTGGTCCCAAGTTTTGTTTTTTTAAAAAAGATATGTTTATTACAGTTTGAAGAATGGATTATTATTTAAGTGGAAGGATGCATTTTTTAATGTATGATAAGAATATCTTATTTGTGGTATTGGTAGGTGAGGGGTTTTGTTTTGTTTTGTTTTGTTTTGTTTTTGCTGTAGGATGTTTGTGCTCACTGGTGCAGGGGGATGGCTATACCACAGTTCATTCTCTTCCATTCTCCTCTTGAAATTTTGGACATATTTGCACATGTGCCCAGCGTGATTCTCAAGCTTCTGGGACTTGAACTGCCAGTTGACCTTGTGGGATGCAACCACCTTAACCACCGTGTCACCCTGTGGCGCACGCTTTTGTTTTTTAGTGTCTTTTGCCAGAATGAAAAATGTAATCCTATGTCAGTTATTACCTTTCCTTTTTCTTTTTACTTGTGTTTGTTTTCTTTTTAGAAGTTTTACTGACTCCTGAATCCTAAGACTCTTGAATCACTGGCATAGCTACCCTTAAGAAAGGAGGAGGTTTCCTAAACAAGTTGGTTGCTGGTAGGGAACAGACACTTACAGCTCCAAGGCCCACAATGCTAAGAATCCCATGTGAGCTCTGCGACCTTCCCCATAGGGTTACCCCCTAGTGTACAAGCATTCCTTGTACAGTGTGCTAGGCCAGCCCTGTGGACCATACAAGGCCCTGGCTGTTGTCTTTGGGGCAGCCAGGAAGAGGGAATGGAAGCCCTGGCCTCCCACCTGGCTGTGAGAACAGAGGGCAGGAGCTCTCCCAGGCGCAAACTAAGTGGAGTCACTGCCCTGGGCCTGTGGGTGAAGGAAGAATGTCTGAGAAGCAGCTCAGACCGAGCAGGCAAAAGTCGCTCTCCCTCCACTGCAGTCTCCATCAGCTTTTAGGGTGGCTAGAGACTTGGTTCCTGTGAAGACGTGGCTCCTCGGTGAAGCGGCCAGTTCTGTTCACAGTGCTCGTACCGCTGAAGCCAGAAACGCCGAAAGGTGGATGGCAGGGACACTGGCTTCTTGCGCTAATACGTGACACAGAGTGTTTTCTTTATAAGAACCGTTAACTGTGTGACAGATTATCCGGGAAAGAATATTTGTGATAACCCTAATAGACTGAGGGAAGGAGTGAAGGTGTAACGTAGAGGATGAGGAGGAATGAGAAGAGTAACGTAAGAAGTCCCTATCAAGGCTGGGTAGATAATGAGAGTTGTGTGGACTTGGCAGTTGTGGGGGCTGGTGGTATTGATAAGCGCCAAAATGAAAAGCACCTCTGGGGAAAAGGCACCCCCCTCTCTCTCTCTCTCTCTCTCTCTCTCTTTTTTTTTTTTAAATTTTTGCCATAGGGCACATGCACTTGCCAGAGAAAGATGCAGAGAGACAGAGACAGACGAAGAGTGAGAAATCACTCCCCACTACCACCAGTGGGGATGGCCACACTGCAGTTCCTTCTCTTCCATTCTTCTCTCGGGATTTTGGGCATGTGTGCACATGTACCCAGCATGATCTTCAAGCTGCCAGATCCAGAACTTGAACTGTGGTCAGCCATGTGGGAGTCCAGTGCCTTAACTACCATACCACCTGCTGACCCCAAAGGCATCACTTTTATGAACTTATTTTTAATGGAGATTGGTCCAAAGTGGTATCCTTCCCCTTTTTTGGTAAGTTCATCTCTTCTGTGAGAGAGGAAGGGAAGTGGAGAGACAGGCACACCCTAAAAGGTCATCGTCCTGTGATTCCCCCACCCCCCCAATCTCAGCCAGCCTGGATCAGCTGGCACGCATGTACGTGCCCAGTGTGCACTGGGGACCTCTGGCCATGATCCCAGGACCTTTCTCTATGGCCTCAGCCTCACGGAGCATTGGGCCACTGCCATGTCCCCTCCCAACTGATTTGTAAAGTGCAGTCATTGTTATAGGTTTAGTATGGCCCGTCTCTCGGCACTCACAGCTCATTAGCTGGGATTCTTTGACACTGCAGCTAGTCTGGCACACAGTAGGCCAGGGAGATCGTCTAATGCACTTCAAATGTCAGAAAAAATCGTCAGTCACAGGATCATTTATACTTGGTTTTAAAAAAATTATCTAGAGGGACCAGCAGATGGTGTAATGGCTATGTCATTATGACTCCCATGTAGTCAACTGAGGTTCGAGTCCCAGGCCCAGTGGGTTAAACTCATGCCAGACATGTGTGTGTGTGTGTGCCCAAGATCCTGGGAGGAGGGTGAAGGAGAAGGGTTTGCGTGGCCATCCCCCCTGGGGGTGGTTTCTCACTTTCTGTCTTTCTGGTGAGCGCACGCCCTACAGCAAAAAATCTGTCTCAAAAAAAAAAAAATCAATCTAGGGGTACCAGTACTTCAGAATCCTTAGAAAAGTGGGGGTAGCATATAGGGAAGGAAGGAAGGAGGGGCCCTGCAGTGAGGAATAAGCTGACCTGTCTGTGTTACCTTAGCTCTGACCAGTCGGAGGTGAGGGAGAGCAAGGTGGGAGAAGGGTACCGGTGTGAGAGGAACGCATGCTGAGTCCACTCCCCTTAATCTCTGTAGTTTAAGCTCTAGTCAGGACTCAAATAAAAGTCTGCAGGTAACTGATTAGCCAGGATGTTAGTGCTGTTCGCTGCTAGGAGAGGGTATATTTGTTTAAAGGCTCTTGGTTTGGGAATCTTCTTCCTTTCCAAAGCTTAGTTCTGTTGAGTTCTCAGGGCAAAGTACATGGTATTTTTATTTTTCCTTTTTCTGTGTAGTTGCTTTGTCTTTTACATACATGTAGACTGCTCTCTTTCTATGCAACCAGGTTCAGTTACTGTGTGTGTCAACTTCTCAAAATGGATAATGTGTTACTATTTTATTTATTTATTTTTTAAGGGTTTTTACCTTAGAGTGTGTGTGCTTGCCAGAGAGAGACAGAGACAGAGAGAGGGAAAATAAGAAATACCCACCCAGGGAGAATGTCTGTGCCTCATCCCTTTTCCTTCATTTTCTTCTTGGGATTTTGGGTATGCATGCACATGCGCCTACATGATTTTTAAGCTGCCAGGTTTGGGACTCGAATCATGATTAGTCATGTGGGAGTCCAACACCTTAACCGCCGTGCCACCTGTTAGCCCCAGTGTGTTAATATTTTATAAACTGTAAAGCAGTCTGTATGTGTTATCATTGCTAACTTCCTTCTCTCTTTGTCCCCTAACTGGCTAAATTCTTATGAAAAGGTGTCCTCCTTTATGGTTCTTGGCTTTGCTTCAGAAATCACTAACATTTGCTTAGAAGGAGAGAAAGAAAGTAGCCATTACTGCAAATTTTATTACTACCATGGAAAGTTCCTTTGAAATACGGGAAATACCTGGATGTGAAGGCTGGGATTAGGCTTGTCCCTGGAGTTAGTACAGGAAGAAATGGTGCAAACCGAAAAAGGGCTGGAGTGAGTCCAATATCACATTTTACTTTATTTATTTTTGAGAGTTTTTTTGCTACAGGGCACATGCACTCACCAGAAAGACAGAGAGACAGAAAGTGAGAAATCACTCCCCAGGGGGGATGGCCATGCTGCAATCCCTTCTCCTCCATACTCCTCTCAGGATCTTAGGTATGCACACACATGCGCCCAGCATAAGTTTAAGCTACCAGGTCTGGAACTCGAACCACGGTCAACTACATGGAAGTCCAGCAACATAGCCATTATACCAACTGCTGGTCCCAATACCACATTTTAACTAAAGCTGAGTTTTTAGCTTTGACTCCAAACATTATTATTATTATTTTTAATATCTTGATAAAGAACTAAGGCCCATTCTGTCTGTTTATTGTAATGTAAAACCATGTCAGGGCACATAT